CCAGCCTGAAAGTGACACTTTGCCTCAAAAAAACCAAAAAAGAAAAATAAAAGGAAATTGAAGAATAATAAATGCTGGTAAGGCTGTGCGGTGGGGGCGAGAGGAACTCTTCTATGTTATTGGTGAGAATATAAACTAGTACAACCACTATGGAAATCAGTAAAGATTCCTCAAAAACCTAAAAACAAATTCCATTTAATCCAGCTATTCCCCTAGTAAGTATTGTCCCAAAAGTTAAAAGAAATCATATTACACAGATACATGCATACTCATGTTTATAGCAACATAATTCATAATAGCTAAATCTTGGAAGTGGCCTATATCTCCATCAACAGATGAATGGATAAAGAAAATGTGGTATTTTTTCACAATGGAGTACTACTCTGCCATAATAAAGGACCAACTTCAGGCATCTGTAGGTAAATGGATGACTTTGAAGCCATAATATTTGTTTTTTGTTTTTTTGTTTTTCTTTTTTTTTTTGTCTTTTTGAGACAAGGTCTCGCTATGCAGTTCAGGCTGGCCTTGAGCTCACTTTGTAGCCTAGGTTGGTCTGGAACTCACAACAATCCTCTTGCCTCAGCCTCCCAAGTGCTGGGATTATAGGCGTGTGCCACCACACCCAGCTGAGGCTATAATATTAAGTGAAATAAATCAGAACACAAATTCAAATATTGCATGGTGCGGAGTGTGGTGGATTTCTGTAATCCAAGCACTCAGGAGGCTGAGGCAGGAGGATTGTTGCAAGTTCAAGACCAGCCTGAGCTACAGAGTGAACTCAAGGCCAGCCTGAACAGCACAGCAAGACCCTGTCTCAAAAAAAAAAAAAAAAAAAACACACACACACACACAAAAACGCATGGTTTCTCTCATATGAAAAGCTGCAAATAAAGAACAAAATAAAAGATAAAGATAATGGGAAATAGGGCTATCTTTTTCAAAGGGGAAGGAGAAGAAGAGATGGAGAGGGGAGAGAAAGCCGATAAAAGAAAAAGATCTGAGAGAAAAACAGATTTTACAAGTGGAAAGGGTATGAAGAGATAGCAGGTACAAGGATAGATGGAGGGGTAGGGGATGACAAAGAATTAAAACATGTTATATGCATGTGTCAACTCCCTTGGGTAAGTGTACTGCAAACATGTAAAAGAAAACATCTATTTTTAGAATTATATATATTATACATTATATATGTATGCATTTTGTTGTTTACAATTATGTGCAGTAACGATGACTTATTTCTATTATATTTTAGAAAAAAAACCAATTCATTCCATGAATGCCTACTGAACACTTCAGATGTTTTAGCAGGTCATCTGCTACACACATTTTCTTTGCTGGAGAGGCTGGGGACTGAACCCGGAGCCTCCTGCATGCTAGGTAAATGCTCTCCTGCAGCGGCACAGTCCTAGTCCCAGCAGGCATCTTATGTGGGAAGAACAATGACAGATAAGCATACTGACATACTGAAGTCTAAGAAGTCTATATAGAAGGTGTGCAGACACTTCTCCAAGTACAGCGAGGACACCAGGCCTCTCTCTTATCAGGAGGCAAAAAGAGCTTTACCTTGATTTTTTTTTTTTAATTAAGAGCTTTACCTTGAAAACATCTGAGCTAACCATTAGAAAAATTACCTAGAATTTGTAAAACATTACTGAAGTTGGGTGAAGAGTAAACAAGATTTTTATACTATTTCTTTACCTTTTTTTTTTTTTTTTTGTCTTTTTTGAGACAGGGTCTCACTATGCAGTTCAGGCTGGCCTGTAATCCCAGCACTCAGGAGGCTGAGGCAGGAGGATTGTTGCAAGTTTGAGACCAGCCTGGGCTACAAAGTGAGCTCAAGGCCGGCCTGAACTGCATAGCAAGCCCTGTCTCAAAAAAAAAAAAAAAAAATTAAATTAAATTTTAAAAAATAAAAAAAAAATTTAAAAAGAGCATTGCACAAGGTCAGTATATGCAAAGGCACTATGAACTTTAAGGAGTCAGGTGAGGGACCGAAAGGAACTAAGGAAATCTGTCTACACTTCTAGTTAACAGTAGAATGTTTATGGTTGAGAAACTCAAAAAACTAGCACAAATGTGAACTGTGTGTCTTTTCACAATCTAATATTCCTGTAATACACCATATAAAGGGTACTTCCTTCAGCCTGTTATAAACACTTGAAAAAAAACATAAACACTTGAGTCAATACCTCATAAAAACTTACAGAGTCTCACTATGTAGTTCCGGCTGGTCCTGAACTCAGGGTTATCTCCTAGGTCCTGGGATTACAGCATTGCGCCATCACACTTCAGCTCAGATTCTTTCTTGAGAAAGCAATTTTAGGAACGCAAGGATTTAAATTTAAATTCTGCCGCGCTTGGTGGCGCACACCTAAGGCTGAGGCAGGAGGATCCCTGCGAGTTGAGGTCAGCCTGGGCTAGAAAGTGAATTCAAGACCAGCCTAAAATGCATAGAGAGACCCTGTCTCAAAAAGGCAAAGACACACACACACACACACAAATTAAAAAATTTTTAAGCTAGGGATCCCTCTTTCAAATGTAAAATGCCAAAGCTGACACTTCAGTACTGATACCTCCCCACCACATGGGCAGCTGGGGCAGAAGGATTGCTGCGTTTGAGGCCAGTCTGAGCTACAAAGTGCGCTGAAGCCCAGCTTGAACAGCATAGTGGGACTCGGTCTCAAGAAAGACCAAAAAAAAAAAAAAGAATGGTACCCTCTGGCATGCCTAATTCATCATTCTGGTTTTCTCTATGCCCCATAGTGCTATACCTTAGTGTGCAGTGTTGCAACCACCTCCACATTAGACCACTGGAAGCTCCTGCTAGAAGGCAGCAACTACCACCTCAGATACAGGCCCAGCAGGACCGAGGGCTGCACTTCCCAGTCCCAAAGAGCACAGAAGAAGCGGTATCCACGTAAGTCTCAGCACACGTACCTCATAAGACTGTAAATACCCTCCTCCCTCCCCTGACTGGAATCGGGTAGCACAGCGCACAAGGAAGTTTCAGAGGGAGGAGACAGCCCATCGCCCTCCGTGCCTCTGCTTCTGCACCTGAAGGGCTTCTGCCAACAAAATGCACTGCGTCTGCTTTGTTCTGAGGTACTACACTAGACTGTGGTCTCAATGCCTTATATTATGTCTCTCCCCAAACAGAAATTGTCTTTTAATGGTATGAAAGTCACACTTTTGAAACTCACCAGCAATACTGTAGTCAATGATTCTTTTAATTTAAGAGAGTTCAACTGATTTAAGCAGTCTATACTGTTCTACTAACCTAAAAAGTTCACACAAAATAAAAATAACTTCGGCATTTAAAAAAAAATATGAAACTAAAAGCACGGAAAAAGAAAAATGTGAACCTTTTTCACATCAAGAGCTTCAGCTGGGGGTGCAGATTTAAATTCCTCACTCCCCATTCTGTTAAGAATACTTAAGTTTCCCTCTTTGCATTTTTATTTTCCTGCCTGTAACTCCCACTCTGCCCTGCCCATTGTTCTTACTTTTATAAACTAAGCCCACAGCAACAGGAAGCTGCCCGAAGCGTGGAAAGAAATCCAGCCGGTCACATTTGGACGGCCGGTTATTTTCTTTTTGAGCAGTTACGAGCCCTTTGTTCTGTGAGTGGAGGGAAAAATCTGAGATGAAAGGAAAATGAAGTTTGCAGGCCCAAGCCCCCGCCGAAGGACTACTTTCTGGGCCAGGCAGGAGGGAAGAGAGTCTTCCGAGGGCGTGGGGGGCGGGGCTGAGCAAGAGGCTCGAGGATCCTAAGGATTTGAATTATTCATTTGCAGGAATGGAAGGCTGGGCTAAAGACAAACAAAAGAAGTTAAAGACCCTCAGCAAAATGGAGAATGAAAGGAAGTTAGAAATACAACGCAGCTGTCATTAACTATCATATGTTCATTACTATAGAGCAGTTAAAACACAGAACAAGAATTTTCTAAAGGAAAAACGTGATACACAGTACCAATATAACTTTCTGAATATAAAAGCACAAGAACCATGAAAATACTGTAAATTCAGCACAAGCAAACGAACCTAGACAATCACGTTTTGTCGCTGCTCTTCTTAAATGTACATTAAGTAAGACTAAAGAAGCAGGGCCGCCAGGAACAATGTGGACGTGGGCTGGTTCCCTTGGGGAAACAGTATCTGCTGGACGGAGATGACTTCCGTCTGGTGTTTGTGCAAACGGTTACTAAGCGATCCAAAGACCCTGGGTGCGGGAAACGGCACGGTATCACTGAGCCACTCCCTCCCCAAGTCATTCTGGAAGCGGCCAAGTGGACGCTACGCGAAGTTCCGCAAAGCTCCATGAGGTCATAGGCACCCGAAAGTACCGAAAACAGCGTCACAATTTTAAAAACCACAGGCAAATCGACTTCGCTGTGCACGGCTGCTGGAAACAATGGAGAAGATAGCGTTACTGCCAAGCAGCAGCACCGTTCACCCGGGACGGGGTCAAGAAGACCCGGGGCCCAGAGAGCCCGCCCGCGTGGCAGTGGGCCGAGACGCGCTCTGCGCGGGAAGGGGCGCGGCGGGGAGGGCGGCGGGGAGCGGCCGCGCCACAGGGCTTCCACCTCACACACAGTTCAACAGAACAAGCCCGGAATCTCAAGAACAAGCAGGAACACTAGATCGCACTGATTTTCTCTTTCCCTTTCGGGCAAAACAATGTCGAAACTAGGCTGCAAGTACCCAGACCCACTGCTAATTGTTTCCTCAGGGCACAGTGTCCAGGGAGCGCGGGGTAGGGAAAGAATCGTTCAGGTCTCGCACGTACGGCCCCAGAACGCAAACCGCACGATTCCCGAAACTCCCCGTCGCCGGCCGGCTCCTCGCCTCCCCGGCCGCGAGGGCCCCCACCCCGCACTCCCGGACTCCGGGGTCTCTTAACCCCCCCTCCGCACACCGGTGAGCCGCCCGAAAACGCCCCCCGCCCGACACCGACGCCCGCACATGCGCACTCCCCGCGCCGCGAGGCCGGCGCCGCTCACCATGTACCAGGTCCCCAGGATGATCGTCCCGGTGCGGACATGGCAACAGCCGCAGCACCGGGTGCTGTAGAATCGCTCGCTGCGGCTCCGCTTGAAGGTCATGGACACCATCGCGAATCTCGCAGGCTCGATCTTGGTCAGACGCTTGGGAGCTTTCCGCTCAGCGGTTAGACCGAGACGACTTGGTCGCAGCCTCCAAATCCAGACGACGCGTCTTCAAAGCCGTCTCCTGCCCTGAACTCTGCCAGCTCCTTCGCGCCTGCGCACTGACGCCAAGGGCCGCCCTGGAGTGACTCCGCCTATTCGTTGTTCATCTAACTTGTACTGCACGTAGACCAATGGGAAGCGGGAAACTGGATAGGCTCGTCCTCTGGTTGGAAAAAGCTAGACATTGACAATACCTCCCGACCAATCAGAAGTGCAAGTCGTCTCTGCGGTGTTCTGGAGGGGAAGGGTCAGCCTCAAGAGATAGTTTGGGTAGAGCAACTAGGTAGTTTACCATGCCTAAGGGGAGGCCAGTAAGAAAGAAGCATTTAATGGACGAAGGGAGAAATGAGATGGAGTAGATGGCACAAAGCGGCACGAAGGGGTATTCTAGAGGAGCGTTGCCTTTGCCACGCTGACTTTGTCACAGGACCGGGCTAGTCACATGACCCTCGCGCACAGCTCGACTGTGGGCCGGCAGGGGCGGTGCCTGTGGGAAGGGCGTGGCCTAGCCTCCCTGGCGAGGTCTTACCTGCCTTGACGGAAATCCAGGGCTCAGGGCAGGGTGAGAGGTTAGATTTCCGCCCCCCGGCTGAAGTCTCCTAGGTTGGAGCAAAGAAATGCCATCGAACCCTGCCAGAGGCCAAAGGATTAAGGAAAGAGAAAACAAGATAAAGTAGAAAACAAGATAAAGTAGAGCTACTTAGCTGCAAGGTTTTACATACACTGAGTTTGGAAGGGAAAATTGTGAAACACTTTGGGTGTCTTCGGTGAAAAACCAGGCATCGTTGGGCACACCCAGATTCTGATTCCGTGGGGCTCCCCACTTTTGTTTGTTTTGGGTACTCCGTAGCTCTCTGTAAGTCTTGTTCTTCAGACTTCATATCGAATCTTACCTCTGCTTGGGAAAAAGCCGTTCGCATCAGTTTGTACATTTATTTCCCATCCTGATTTAACAATATTGGCGAGCGCTTTAAACTCTTTTTGGAGCCAGTTCTAACATCGTCTTGGATCCCTCATTAGTTTGAAGTGTTCATTTTCTATTTGTTCTGATACTTGTGACTACCTTGAAAACTAATCAGAGTACAGGACAGTGTGCAGCTGTGGAAAATAACTGCACAGGCATAATCAAGTAAACACCGAATATTGAATGTTTCACAAAACATGAATATATTCACATTTTAGGAGGATAAAGAGGGGGGAGATCTGATACTGTGCGGTGGAGCTGACAGATTCCAGGCTGTTGTGTATGATGAGCAAAGAATTGCAAGTGTATATGTAATAGCAAAAGAAAAAGGAGCAACATCTCTTGAAGATAAGGGGAAGATATGGTCAGGGCAGATCCCAACAGAAAACAGCACACAGAAAAGTCAGCCTTTTGGATTTTAAAAGACGTGCACCCCAGCCCAGGTGCTTCTCACTGGGGCTCTGGGGCTGATTGACAGCGCTGATTTACAGGGTGCTGAATCATCTCAGGGGCTTCTACCTTGCAGGCCTGTCCCAGAATTCACTCTGATTAAATTATATCGATGAATGCAGTCCTTATGTATGAACTTTCAACAACATTCCAGTGGGGAAAAGTGATGGAGACCACTATGAAGCAGCTCTGAGCAGGATTTAATATTAATCAATTGGCTTTCCATGTTTACTTCTGAGTTGTCCGAAGCTTAGCCACCTTGTCTGGAGATGCGCAAGCAGACTCATAGTAAGTGAACTTCTATGAGTCACTGGTCCCCGGCTGAGGCCTGTATTGGCCTGTAAAGTTAGGACACTTCAAAGGAGAAGATAAGGCCACAGTTGAGGACTTTTGGCTCCAACCCCAATTAACTAAAAGGAGACTGTAGCTGCAGGCATCTCACTCCTGCAGTGAAGGCCTCCCTAGAGACAACACAGTTCTCCTAAACTAACATAAAGTATTACTTGGAGAAGTCCTTAGAGGGAAACCCAAGTCCTGCACAGATTCCTGCATTTTCTTCAGTATCCCCCTTCTTTGTTTGAAAGCCAAATAAACACGGGCCACCCAGGAAAGTCTGGGTCTTAACCCAGAGAATCTTGAATTGTGTGAGAGGGTTGAACCCTCTTAGAGCCTAAAATCATTTCAATTTTCTCATTTATTCAAGCCTTACCCGTCTACTCGTTTGGGAGATTGAGGACCTCAACAGCCCACAATAACTAAGGGTTATTAACCTGATAAGAAAGGTTACTGAAGGTCAAGCCACTACATCTAATATGAAGATGCTCTGGCCTAGAGCTATTGAGATTTCCAGGATCTTGGTCATTTTTTTTCTGCTTCTCTCAGGCCAATGGGCGCACTGGTCTTGGGGTGATGATCAAATCCAAGTGCGGGAGGGGAGTGGCCTCTCAACCCCAGTTGTACTACCTGTACTAAGATGACTGGGCAAAAGTGATAACTTGTCTAGCATACTGAAACGCAGTAGATAATGTACATAGTTCATTCATGAAAGCATAGCACATACATCTTTCTACTGTTTAAAAGTAGGAACTATGTATATTCTAGAAGGGAAAGACAAAGCATTGTATCGGTCAGCTCTTGCTGGGTAATAAACTGCTGCAAAAATGTAGTGGCTTCAAACTTTTTTTTTTTTGGTATCTCATACCTCGGGCTAAACTGAGAATTTCTTCAAGTTGTGGTCAGTTCAGCTGACCTCTGTGGTCAACTGGTGAACTGAACTAAGGCTGCATGGTCTGGAATGTTCACAGGTGTGGTGGTTGATTCCACATCACCTGGATGACAGCAATGACTTATCCATCCCTTATCATCTAGCAAGCTGGTACAGGTTCTTCTGGAGAGTTGTTATTAGGTTCATAAAAAAGACCATGAAAAGGCAAGCTCAAGGCACTAGCGTTTTTCAAGCACTTGCTTTACATTTGTTCTGTTGGACAAACAAGTCATATGGCACAGTCCAGATCAAAGGGATGGAAAACTGGATTCTTACCTCTTGATGCTGGGAGATGCAGAGTCACATTGCAAAGAGAGGCAAATACAGGTGGGAAGAATAGGTTACTGTGGTATCAAAACAAGGAAGTAGGGAACTGATGGGCTGGGAGATTGGGTAGGGGAGTGTAGGGAATTTAAGGGGTAGGGAAGGGAAATACTTTCAGTGTTTTACTTTTGAAAACAATGTGTACATATTAATTTGATCAAAGTGTTATTAATTTAGAATAAAAAGGAGGAGGGAATAATTAATTTAGAATAAAAAGGAGGAATCTGACCAACAGTGTCAGATTCCTAGGAGTATCAAGTAAGAAAAAGGTTGGATTTTGTAACCCTCAACCTTGAGTTTGAATGAAGTTCAGCTCCAGGAGTGATGGGTGTAGATTGAAGAGAAAGTTGGAAGGGTGGGTGTTAAGGGTAAACTATTCTTAAAAGAAACAATAGTATATAGTGAAGGAGAGAAGCAGTTCTAACTAGATGGATATACTTGTTCCTAAGATTGACCCATGTCTGTCCATCTATCCATTCATTTGTCCTCTATCTTTACTCCTGTTTCACTTTGGTTTTCTAATGATCATCGCAGTTTCATAGACATAGACTTGGTGTTTTTCCAGGTAAATTACTTACTCATAAGTCGATGGCTTCCAAAGTGTGGCACATTGACCTTTAGGGCTCCCCCTTTCAGAGGGTCTGTAGGTTCAGAATTATTTTCACAATTACATATTATTCACCTTTTTCACAGGGATATGTGCCATGATCAAATGAGTCTAAGTCAAACTGCTGTTATCTTAGTGTGAATCAAGATAACGGAACACCATTAACCACTATACTGTTACACAGAAGCATTTTTAAATGTTAGTTTAAGAATATTCTTGGTGCCAGGAACAGTGGCACACATCTGTAATCCCAGCACTCAGGAAGCTGAGGCAGGAAGATCACTATGAGTTCAAAGCCAGCCTGGGCTACATAAGTAGGTTCAAATCCAGCCTGGAGTACATAATGAGACCCTTTCTCAAAAAAATAAAAAATAAGAGAATGTTTTTGGTGAACAAAAAAATATCTAGTTTGTGATGTTAGTATGAGAACATATCTTAATATTCTATGTAACAAAATGGGAAGTGCACATAGGACTTTTTCTGTATGTGGAAGTACAGTGTTTATGTAGGAAAAGCACTTCTGCTTTTGTTTGACTTGTGAGCCAACTGCCTGCTTTTTTCATTTTGACTTGAAAGAATGACTGTCAGCAAGTAACATTTCAGACATGAACACTGGCAGTCATTTCCGTGAAAATGAAAAAGGAAGCCTGTCTGTTGAAAGGAACACAACTGGAGTATTTGTTGCCCATAATGTAATCAGAGCTTTCAAGAGGAATATTAGAACTGTCACTTGGCATGATGGCACACGCCTGTAATCCCAGCACTAGAAAGCCTGAGGCAAGAGGATCACCTTGAGTGTGAGGCCAGTATGAGCTATATAACCAGGTTTAAGGCCAGCCTGAACTATCTACTGAGACCCTGTCTCAAAAGACCAGAAAACAAACAAACAGAATTGTGGAAGAATTTGTATACACTACTGTAAGCTTGACGGTAATATCTTGAAATTTTGGGGGTTTTTTGTTTGTTTGTTTTTGTTTTTGTTGCAGAATGTTACCAAATCACATGCAGGTAAACCAGCCAGTGAAATGCAAGATAGACCAGTGAGTTTTCAATGTGACAATATGAAAAATTAATTGATAAGACTTTAGATTGCAAGTGCAACTTATCTTTTTTATTTGTCTTTTTGAGACAGGGTCTCACTATGCAGTTTAGGCTGGCCTTGAGCTCACTTTGTAGCCCCACCTGGTCTCAACAGGCTCACTTGTAGCCCCGCCTGGTTGCAACAATCCTCCTGCCTCAGCCTCTCAAGTGCTGGGATTACAGGCGTGTACCACCACACCCGGTTTTGCAATTTATCTTTAAGGATTTGCATTTACTGTATTCTGGTACAGAATCAAGGGAGAATAGCAACAATTATACAAAGTACCTTACGATGCTCCTTACTTCTCCAGCTACTATGCATCAATGTGATTTCCTCACGTATTTCAACCACAGAAATACATTGCAACAGGCTGAGGAACCAGATGTGAGAATCCAGCTG